TTTTTCACACAAGTAGAGTAACTCTGTTCGCAAAGTCCGCACTTTTTCGAAGAGGGTGCCCCCCGAATTTGGAGGACACTTTTTTAATTGTCGCAAAGAGAAGAGTGAACTATCTTGTTACGTACGATCTTTGGCGTGGATCAAATTGCCAAGAATTTCGCGTCGATAGAACAAACAAAAACAAAAAGCCACGGAGCGCAGTGTTATGTAAATTTTCCACAAAACGAAAGATGATATTGGCAATGTACAGTGATATAAGTGTGAGAGACATTCGCCTATCTCAGGCTGTATCGGGTTTCTCCGTTTGTCGACAACCACGTATTCCACCCAGCCCCGGGTCGGCTCTGAGAGAAAGGCCCTAACAATGCGTCAACGTCCAGGCAAACTAGCTCCCTTTTCCCGGTGAATGACCACTTGACCACACAGTAACAATGCACGTGCGGGTGCCACAGATGTCCCTCACTGTCCGCGCGTGCCCGAGCCCAACAATTCCATCAAAGTGACCGATCGTTCAGTGACCACTGAGTCGCACTCTACAAAAGTGAGCTCCACGATTTGCTGCCTCAGAAGAACAAAGTTCTCTCCAATATTTGATCCCTTTAAGGACAAGTGGGCTAACCCAGATTTCGGGGGTTTCCAGAAATCTTGACCTTCACCAAAAGTGGGCATTGCCCAACCTATAGGAGACGTTTGGTTCCATTGGTGTGTATATTTGTTTGGTTATAAAGAAAACTCTCCTAGTTTTATAATGAAACTGAACAAGGGGCAAACACTTAACTTTCGATTTTCTCAAAACAGCATTTTCGGGATAGCCCCCTTCTGCTCCCTATTTCCGCATTTCGAGTTTTTAGTTTTAGTTTTCATAAGAGTTTTACGGCACTTGCAACACAATAAGGTCATATAAGTGCCGAAGAATAGATGTGTTTCAAGACAGTAACATACACAAAAAAGAAAGAGAGATCAGGACGATAAATGTTTGATAGAAAAAAAGGAGCAAACCCCACCACAGCAACCGCTCCCCATCTCCCCATTTCGAAAGATTTTGCTCGTTAAAGCTGTAACGTCATCTGTAAGCTGTATGAGTAATCACTGAGGTCAGATCTTGAGCAAGAGGCGATCATTCTCGCCAAGCAGACCGGATTACGCGTGGAGCTACCAGACAATGTCGCCGGAAACTGTTTTCTTGGAGTAGTTCTGACAGGTGCCATTATGCGAGGGATGTTGACACATTAGCAGGCTTTTAAAAAAAATCTGGGAAAACAAAAACGCGGAATAATAATGCTATGCAAATGTTCGT